AACAGGGTGACTAGTTTTATTCACCGACAACATACCGTTCAAAACCACTCCGGGGTGATATGAGATCTGTACTCGTGTACAATGTGTTCTATTTAATTCGCAGTTTACTCAATAAATGCATGATTAGAAATACGGGTGTAAGTTTCGGATTCCGAGTTCCCAATAGCCTGGAATCTGGTGTCTCATGCAGGTTCCGTGTTCCGCGTTCCATGGAACCCCGAATCCGCCCAGTTGCTCCGTTGCTGGGAACCCCAGAACTCATAGTGATCTGTCACAAAATGAAAGAAAAGGCTAACCGAAATATTATTGCGTTCGAAAACGCAAAAAACGATTATTCACATGTGTTCGTGTTCCTTGGGAACAGTACGCTGAAGAACACAAACTGTAGCACTCATACATTCGATTTTTCAAGATTAGCAGTAATTTCTATTCTCTGTAATTGATTACTGTTTCTGAAGATACATGAATGACTATCTGAAGGTTTCTTGGCACGAGAGTAACAAAACTCGAATACGCCTGCTGGTTCCTGGTTCTTGGGAACGGGAACTCAGAATGCATGCCAGCTTTATGCGAAAAAGCAGTAAAAGACTATCTGACTATTCCGTTCTTTTCAGAAATTCATAAAAATGGATTTTCAAGTGGATTCCCGTTCCTTAGGAACGGAGCCCTTGCACCCCTAATTAGAAATTTGAAAATTCAACGATTGACAATGTGATATTTTTGTAAGAAGCAAAGTAAATACGTGCTTCTACAAAATAGTTGGAAGAATAAGATACATTAATAAATGTTAAGTACGCTTTCACTCAAGCGCCAAATGCCTATTTTGACTACCTTAGAAAAAATTCTTTTAAAATCAAAAGAATTACTTCTCACTAACTATTTCTTCCTAATTGTGAGTAAAAACTTCAGTTCACGGTAATTTCCAACATGGGCATTTACACAGTGACACCGCTGTGAATCATAGTTTTATAGAGACGTAAGCAACACTTAAAACATAAAGAAAGAAAGATCGACCATTTTATTATAGCTCCAAGCAAAACAGAAACACCCAGCACAAACTCTTTCTTCCTAATAATGTAAATATCACCAGATGACTTCGATGGGAATTGGGCTTTCAACTAAAACACTGATGCACATTAATTCTTACCTTCTTGTTGAACTACACAAGAGGATCGTAGTCTTGAATAATTGTGAGAAATATACACTGAAAAAAAATAGCACCAAACGGAACCAAGAAAGTTTCTAATTTTCTCATTGAACTTTAATATGATTTCGCGCTTTGAAACGAATTCTGAACCTGTTTTAGGTTTCGTAGGTTTTCCACAAAACCTTCGAAAAGGTTTTCTGAACTCTTGATAATAATTTTGAGACTATCTTGGGGTTTTACGAAACGTGTTGAAGGGTTTGGAATTCGTTTCAAGAACGGTTCAGCGTGGTGCTATTTTTTTCCCCGTGTATACCACAAATGTCTGCTAAGGTTTGAAGCAGAATCCTACGGTGTCACATCGTCTCAACGAACACAAGAAAACAACTCCGATCGCGTCAGCAGGCGCATCTGTATATAATATAGTTCCAATAGGACTAAGAAAGGCGTTCATAAATCCTTTGAACTTCAGCTGCTTGTACAATGAAACAGTAATCAATTACAGAGAATAGAAATTACTGCTAATCTTGAAAAATCGAATGTATGAGTGCTACAGTTTGTGTT